AAACATCTGATTAGGTTAGAATAGTCAGAATAGGTTAGGTTATACCACAGCAACAAATAAACTCTAAAGTCTCAGTGACTTTAACACATTCAAAGACTGATTCTCACGTATGCAAGTTATTCTACTCATCCATTTGTAGCCACACCTCACCCATTTGTAGCCACACCTTCTAGAACATGTGACCTCCAAAGTTGCTGCATCAAGCGAAGTCAGAGATGAGGGAGGCATATCCTGGACCTTGATTGCATCAGCCAGGAAATGTAACGCATCACATGTTGCTTCCTGCTCACAGTAGCTTGGCCATAACAAACCGCATGTCCCCAGCCTAACTGCAAGGGAGACAGGGAAATGAAGAAAGACATTAATCAAGTAATCTACAAATGACTATGTGGATATTTGATGGGCATTATCTCTACTACAAATATGCTCCCTAGATACCAGGAAATCAAATATTAAAATGTTCAAAGTATTCCAATTGTATAAACTATATGTATATACATACATATATATATATGTATTCCTTAAAAAAAGAAAAACTAAAATTAAATACACAGAAATATTAATAGTGATTATCTGGAGTCCCTGGGTGGTACAAGCTGATAATATACTCAGCTGCTAACTGAAAGGTTGGCGGTTCGAATCCACCCAGACATGCCTCGGAAGAAAGGCCCAGAGATCCACTTTCAAAAAATCAGTCATTGAAAATCTATATAGCACAATTCTACTCTGACACACATGGGGTCGCCATGAGTGAGAGCTAACTCAATGACTATGGTACTGGTGCCCAGTATCTCTAGTTATTAAATTATTTGTGGGTTTTACTTTCTTCTGTATATTTTTATATAATCCTAGAAATATTTAATCAACATGTTTTAGAATCCAAAAAAAAAAAAAATGTTTTTTTTTAACTGAGAAACAAGTTTAGATCACAAATAACTATGACTCCAATAAGAAAAATAACTCAAAAGGAAAGGGAATTTCTAAAAAGTGCATTTCTGATCAGACCATCACAATTCCCCAGTAAGAAGGAAAAGTGAGGGCCAGGCACAGACATGACTGTTACCGTGCAGGAAGCACTCTGGTGAACTCTGATTTTGTCAAGGGCATCTGTGAAAGATGAAAAAAGGGCACATATCCAAGGGAGAAGGCAAAGAGGGGGCACAGTCCTATAAACCACCAGTTCAACAGAAGAGGGAAGGGGGATTTAGGAAGAAAAGTATATAAATTAAGGAACAAATGATTCAAGCAAGGAGAAGGAATCACAGCTCACTGGGGATTTACTGGCTGAACAGGAAGCAGCCCCATCCTGCTGCAGGCTTCAGCCAATCTGAATTTCCCCACCTGCTCCAAGCCAGTGCAGCCCTTGGCTCTCCGAGCTCGTGAGCACTTGCTGCCTCTGTCACACAAGTCAGACTAAAGGCAGCAACATTGATTTTCATGTACGCTTTGTGAATACATTCTCTTTACTCCATATAATCCCTGACCTTCGTCTACTGCTTTACAATCCAGAAATTGTTTCCAAGCACAAGAGTGATCTTTTAAAAGTACAAAGCTGATTATGTCGCCCACACGTACAATCCTCAATGTTGTTGTTGTTATGTGCCGTCCCATTAAACTTTGGATAAAGACCTCAGTTTGGCCTACACAAGGCCCTGCCTGTCTGGTGCTTGCCTTCCTCTCCATCCTCATCTTGCCACCTCCTCTCACCCCCTGCCTCTCTGGGCTGCAGCCTCAACGGCCTACTTCCGCTTCTTTGATCCCCATAAAGTTTGCTCAGCCTGGAAGGTTCCCTCTTGCCTCTCCATTGCACTGCCCATTCCCAGTCTAAGACCAGCTCCTGACATGACTTACTGTATCTACCTCAGTTTGTATTTATATATCGTTTGGGGATATTATTGATTAATGTCTTCACTGTCAGCTTCCATGAAAACAGGAACCATGGCTGGTTTCACTTGCTTAATGGGGTTTCATTCTTTTTCATTCCATTTTTGTTTACAGGTGAGGAGCCATAGGGGAGATTAAATCTTCACTTTTCCTCTCTTCACTGAAGAGCCAGTGTCAGTAGGTAATGGCATATTTTGAGCTAGAAATCAAGGAATAGTGGGTTTCAAATTTAGTTCTCACTCTCATATGAATTCTTCATGTGACCTTGGGGCAATACATCCCCTCTCTGAGACTGTTTCCTCTTTTATAAGAGTTCGAACTCTATGGTCTCTGAGGTGCATCCTTCTGTAAAATATAATTCTAAGTCCTTCAATAGACTAACAAGAGAAGGCAGAAGAATTAAGATTAATTTAAAATAACAAAGGAAAGGAAGAGGCCACACTAAGGAAAAGAGAAGGCCTCACGTTTGGTTGGCTGAGGATTGGCTCCGGTGTCTGAATCCCATTTCGGCAGTTTGGTAACTTTATAACCTTGGGCAAACTGCTTAATCTCTCTGGATCTTGATTTCTTCATCTGTAAAATTTGATAAGAATACCTACCTCACAGGTTGGATGAGAGGATTAAATGAGATAATGTATTATAGCACCTGGAACATGGTAGACTATGGTAGGTCCTTTCCTCCTTTCCCTTTACCATCATGGACTTTAAAAGCAGATTGAGACTAAAGGCCCAATTATCTCTGCATGCAATGGCTTATGCATGGTTTATTCCTCTGAGGAAGCTTTATATCACCCAAAAAATAATGATTGCATGTCCTGGAAATTCACAGGGAAAAGTCATGTTTCCCTCTGCATTCAAGTGATTCTGTCAGATCCAATTATATACAAAGATTCTAAAGTTGGTCCAAAAATGTTTACAAGCATTTCCTGTCTTCCTGGTACAATGGCAAGAACATGACTGGGGTTCCCATCCAGACTTCACTACTGACCATGTACTCAACAGCATCACCTTCACCCTGTTTTCGTATGTCACAGAACAAAATGAGATTTTACTGGAGAAGAGAGGTAGAGTGATATATTTCAAATCTTCTTTTGTTTTTTTCTTTTTACAAGGGTCCAAAAATCACCAAATAATAGTGTTTGAGGTAGGAAAGACCCTGAGAATGATCTATTTCAGCCCTGTCACTTTGTATTGGTGGTGATAAGAGACTCAGAAACCAGAGTTCAAGTACCGGCTCTGCCAGTTTTGTGATCTTGGGTTAGTCACTTAACCTCTTCAAGGGCACTCAGCTACAAAAAAGGGATAGTAATAACTACCTCTTATAGATGCAGTGAGGGGCTAGTGAGGCAGTACAGGTGAGAGCTTTGTCAACTCTAAAGCAATTTTCAAATGAAAAGCATCATCATGATTCTTTGGACCCATCACCTCTGAGCTGATAAAGCATATCCACTAACCTGCCAATATCCATTATCTCATCTTGCATACCTAATTTTGTGAATCATGAAAGAAAAACGCCAGTGCCTAGCAAAATTCCTGGCATGGAATAAGTGCACAATAACTTTTTCCTGAATGATTTTTGTAAAAATGACTCACAAAGGGCTTTTTGTGGCCTCCTGAGAGCCAAGAAGTGAGTACATGAAGACACTGAAAGTTCCTGTCATAGGACAGCCCACCCCCTACATATTCCAGGCTCCATTAGAGCTATACCAAGTGTATTCTTCTCTCTATTCCCTAGAAAGAGGTGGTCTTAGAGGTAAGCAAGGTTACTTACAGGTTAATCTTCTTCACCCTTATGGAAAAGCAGGCTCCCAAAACAAAGCAAGAGTCTCTCCCACCCTGAACTTCACCCACCCTGTTTTTCCTTCAAAAACCAGGTCCAAGGAGGTAGAGTGAAGGAGATACCCCAACCTGAGTTGGCCATCTAGAGAAAACCAAACTCTTTTTGAGAAACTCAACAACCACATTTGGGGAATTCTCTGCAATGGAGGAGCGACAAAGGCCAGGATGGGTGTTGCTGCTGATGGTGGAACCAAGGGTGATTTTCCAGATTACCAAAGAGGTGCTGTGCTTTGCTCCCAGGAACTAAATACCTTCAGGGATTCAACAGTGGCCTTCAACTGGAATTCTTCTCCATGTTGAAATTTTCAAACCACTATTTTCCTAAGAACTACATCTTCTTTAGTGAACAAAGGCATTACAATCATAACTATCCAGGTTCCCGCGTGACTGGAGCCATCATTAGTGTTCTTATTTGTGTTTAGTTGCATGTCCCTAGCAGCCCACATTCACAGTGCGCTTTGAAATTGTTTCTTAGTAATAATCCTAACAGATGCCCCGAGGCAGAAGTGGTGACTAGGATTAACATTCTGTATTGTCTAAAGGGGAACCAAATGAAGAGAGCTGACTGCCATCATTGTTCACATAAGGGTCAGTCTGAAGATGCCCAAACTTCTGTCCCAATCTGGTCCTACATTTAGATCACCTCCTTCCAGGATGCCAGTTATTTCTGTGGCTTTTGTTTATAACTACTCCAACACCAGGAGTATGACCAGGAGGAACTGGGCTGCTGAGGGGGTAGGCAATAGAATCAGAGATTTTTGCTGTTATAATAGACCTTATTGATCATCTAACCAAGGCCATTATTCACAGTTAAACAGTCTCAGAGAAAATAAATACTTTACCAAATTTGCACAAGCGACCTTTCTTCCAGTTTTGTGTTTTTTTTTTTTTTTTGCTTTTTTATACACACTCCAGCTGCTAAGCCCCCTCCAACTCCAATTGCTGCAATTCTGATTTTAGGATTGTCCTCTTCCTCCCCTCACTACATATTTTTAGAAACTCAATAAGTTTCCTCCTCTTCTTCCTTTTTTCTAAGACTGCATGCTTATAATTGTATAGAGCAAAGCAATAAATCAGTAAGCCTAGTCAATTAAAAAAGTCCTAGAATCTCTGCAAACAATTTGACAATACTATCAAGTAAACAATCTGTCTTATTTTGGCCAGTATCAAGTTGATACAAAACAGAATTCTTTCCTGTAAATTCCCCGGGTGACGTGACGTAGCCATTGCCACACCTACTTAAGACAAGACAATTGCAAAAGGCAAAGCAGCCTGACTCGGTCTTAGTTCTCCAGGCAGAGAGGGAGTCACTTCATTGGAGCTCAGAGTCGGCAAAGGTACTGTCCTTATCACGTTTCTCTTTTTAAATATTTTTTGTTTTTCCAATTTCCGAGGCCAAATCTTCAGACAGGGATTGGACTGGACTGTGGGACATAAAGTGATACTCATGAGGAGTGTGCCTCTTAGCTCAAGTAGATACAAGAGACTAAATGGGCAGCTTCTGTCCGGAGGTGAGATGGGAAGGCAAGCTGGTTAGGAGCTTGTCAAAAGGATCTGGGGAATCAGGGGTGGAAAGGAAGACTGTGCTGTCACAGTATGGGGAGAGCAATTAGGGTCACATAACAATATATGTACAAATTTTTGTATGGGAGAAAATAAAAATATATTTTTTTTTTGTTTCTCTTCTTGGAGGCTATCTCTCAAACTTCCTTCTCTGAAGCAATAGCCTCTCTCTTCCTTTCTTGTCCCTCCCTGGTTTGGAGTGTGAGCTAGAATCACAGTCAGATCTCAGAAAATATCTCTCCCATTCTGATGGGGAACCGAGGGACAGAGGAATTGGCAACTTATGAGGGCATTGGTGGGCACATCCAAGCCTTCCCGACAGAGGAAATTTCTCTACCAAAAATTATTAGGAAAAGAACTGGAAATTTCTACCTGTCTTTCTCTTACATCTGTGTAAGGTAAATATCTTTTTCTGGTGATTTTTTAACCTATCCAAAGTTTCACTGAATGCCTACTATATGCAGTGCATTGGGTTGGGCATATAAGGGATAATAAGATAAATAAAACAGATTCTAAAAAGTCTACAGTCCACTGGAGAAGGCAGGTATAAATAAAAATAGAGCAAGAGAGTGAACAACAAGAATAGGGTAAATGCTGAGTGCGGGCTAAGTCATTCAATCAAGTTTCCCAAAAAGCATAGAGTGGAGTTGGCTCCCTTGCAGGCATCTGGTTTAGAGGCTGGCTGAACTGACAGCCACTGGTGCTCTCTATTGCAGAAAAGCAAGATGGCCAAAGTTCCTGATCTGTTTGAAGAACTGAAGGACTGTTACAGGTAAGAAATAGATTCTATCTCTTGTGATTTAATGCAGAATCAAGACTCATTAGAATCCTGCTAGGAGTTACAGTGACCAGCATGGGGTCAGGCCAGCAGGGACTGTGGAGATGCGCACTACTTCTGAAGTCCAGCCAGGTTCAGCTGAAGACTGAGGGGAACCGAGCAACCAGCATATTAAACTGAGATTGCACTGACAGGGAGACAGCCATTTTAGAAAAATGATTCTTGAGTTCTACTAAGTCCTATGTGAATTTCAACATCCTCTTAAACACAGCCTCAGTTGAGTTCAATGCTCTGATACAGAAATGGGTTTTCATGGACTGTCTGAGAAAGAAACCATCTTATCCCAATCAAACTTCTTATCCCAATCAGGAACAGAAGTTGGCTACACAGCAATTTGAGTGTGTGAATGCACACACACAGTCAAACCTCATTCAGACATAGGAGAAAGATAAATGAATAAAAAGTTGAAATTATAGAACATTTTAAACAAGTATGGTATTAACACTACCTATAATATACACCAATACAAACGAGACTATCAAAATGTTACCTGAATATTTTGCCAAGTATAAATTATTAATCTATTTTATTGAACACAGGAAAACAATGTGAACATAATTTTTTTGGTTTAAGAAAAATAGAGGTGTTTCAAAAGTTTTTCTTTTCTCTTGAGGAGCTTATCTTTTTTTCCCGAAGTTCCATAAAAACTCTTTAATTTGTTAGCCAAACACAGTTTTTACAGGTGAAGCACAGGTAAACTCCAAGCCCTGTCTTGATTATTCCTAATTCCAAATTAGTAAAGTATGAATTACTGTATGTATGTGTGTACAGAAGTCCTTTAATTTTCAAAGATGACAGTAATGGTCATGCATGTGTGTTACCCAAAGCTAATGTGGTCATTAAAATAAGTTGCCCAGTGACCGTAGGGAAATAACAAACAGAATTACATTCTCATCATCTTGTTTTGACAGTGAAAATGAAGAATACAGTTCCAACAATAACAACCTCTCTCTGAATCAGGTAAGCAAATGACTGCAATTCCTAGGGGACTGATATTCTTAAGCAGCAGTTTCTCACCAGGAGAGAATAATAATGGCTTGGGCCCTCAATACTTTGGTTTTACACTCACTAGAGGTCCAGAGATTTGCATTTCTTCATTACAAGTGAGACCATCTGCCTCTCTAATATTTGATGGCATTCCTCATGCTTGCCAGCTTTGCCCAGAACAGAGTAGAATTTTCCTGAAACCACAAGGACCAGAGTTTCCTGGGTCAGGCTTCATCAGAACCTTAGTTATACCCTCCTGAAACAGGACCCTCAGGTCACTTCCCCAGGAGTCTGCCTCCTAAAGTGATATGTTGTGAGCGTCGTCTCAGACACCAGCAGCAAAGGTTAGGGACAGCCCTCCAAACATAATAGCCCATGAAGCTGACATAGAGGAAGCAGGCCGACTGAAAGTGAGAAATCTGCAGCCACTTACCTGGAGTCCACAAATAGGCAGTGTAAGTACTGCTGTGTGTATCTCTGGTACTGACTGCAAAAGCTGTTCTCAGAGGAACATTTCTAAAGCAGTGGTCAAGTGGAGGTTACCATAACCTTGTGAGGAGGAACTAATTTGAAGACTACCACTTACTAAGACCACTTGTTAACCTATTTCATTACAACATCTCAGTTGTGAGTCCGCAGATGGATGACAACGTTTTCCCAAGAGATAATATCCTTCTAGAGAAATCTTAGAAGAAGGAAAGGGAGGGAAGCAAGGAGGGAGGGGAGGAAGAGAGTAAAAAAGAGAGGAAGGAAGGAGGGAGGAAAGGAGCAGAAGACTGATGAAACATGGCTTACCCAAGACCAAAATGGAGACCCTTCTCACTAAGTCTGTTGGACAAAACTTCTACTGAAAGGTGCTCATTCCATGGCCGTGGCAGCCTCTCAGTATCCATTTTCCTTCTTCACAGAAATCCTTCTATGATGCAAGCTATGGCCCACTTCAGAAGGTCTGCATGGATAAATATATGTCACTGAGCACCTCTGAAACCTCTAAGACACCCAAGCCCACCTTCAAGGACAGTGTGGCAGTAGTGACAGCCAGAGGGAAGATTCTGAAGAAGAGACGACTGAGTTTACACCAACTCATCACTAATGAAGACTTGGAAGCCACTGCCAATGATCTAGAAGAAGGTAAGTGTTCAAACCCAACAATGTCCTTGTCTTCCATTTTTAACTAAATAGGGACAATAGAGTATAAAGGAAAATAAAACTGGAGTCATAGTAGCAGGAGGACAACCAGTAACATAAGGAAGGAAAATTAATTGCTATCCTTCTCTAAAGTGGAGAGTGGCAGTGGCCTGAGTCTAGAATACCTGCCCACAGGCTCATTTTTCTGGTCATATTGTAAAGGTCATATGACTTTTAGACTTTCAGAGGGAAAAGTAACTATATACTGTTAGTGGGTGACCAGTTACAAGCTATGTTCCTCCATTCACTAATTATGCCACCTTGGGCAAGTTATTAAACTTTTGTCTACTGTAAAATGGAGATAATCAGAGTCCTGACCTCACTGGATTATCATGAAGATTAAATGAGTTAACACTCCCCAACTTCTGGACTAGAATAATGCCTGGTACATAGTAAGCACCCAAAAAATGTTAGCTACTATTATTGTAATTAGTGTTTTGTTGTTATTATCACTGCTACTACTTCTATTAATACCACCAATACTACATTAATATATTAATGCTTGCATTATATATAAACCTCACAACAACCCTACATTCTCATTTTACATACGAGGAAATTAAGCTTGGTGAGATAAGTGACCTGCCCAAAGACTCACAGCCTATAAGTGGGAGAGTCCCAAATCAAATTCAGTTCTGACTTTAAAAAAAAAAACATTATTTTTCTCTCATGCCTTTACTGTACGAGCTTCTGCATGAAACATAAAACCAATATTCCTGTTTTTTAAGATAACATCTAAACAAAAATGCATGTTCACCTAGAGACTTAGAAAATACAAGAAAATAAAAATCACTCATACTACCGCTCAAGAATTTACCACTGCCAACAATATGGTATACTTCCTAACAGTATTTTCTACATACATACATACTTATACATAAACAAACATGTTTATTATTAGGATCATACTATATACAATTTTATATTCAGCTCTTTTCACTTAGCAATGTGTCAAGGACATTTTGGAGTGCCAATTTTTCACCAATATATGTAATGTGGTGATGAACATCCATATCAACAAATTTTCATTTCCATCACCATTTATTTCCTTCCTTAGAAGAGATTCCTAGAGGTGGAATTACTCAGAGCCATGAGGATTTGTGAAGCTATGGATATACATCACTTTCTAGAAAAGTAGTAGACATTTAGACCTGCTCCCTCAATGGCACATACAATTCGTAATCAATTCTTTTTTTATTTTTTCCTGAGTGAATTCATTTGAAAATATAGATGGGGGATACCGCTAGTCTTCCTGGTTACTTAGAACCCTCCAAACAACCAAAAATGAGAAAGTTTCACAAATAATTTCAGGGAAAGGGAGGTGATTGCCAGAGGAATCAAAGCTTAAAAAGAAGCAAATAAGTAGCCACACGAATAATCCTAGAACTCATTCTACTGCTGACTGGGTGATTTCACTTCTCTATTAATTTCCCACCTGGATAGGAATATTCCTAATGTCCCTTCCATAGCTACTTTCTATAATTACACGAGGGTGTATATATCATCTGTGTTTGTACATAGACATTAATCTGAGCTTGTGATAATGGTTTTAGAAATCATCAAGCCCAAATCAGCATTTTCCACCTCCCTGAACAAAGTGAAATACGGCTTTACGAAGATCATCAAAAGTCAGGGCATCCTGAATGACATCCTTGCTCAAAGTTTAATTCAAGACCCAACAGGTCCATACCTCAAGGCCGCTGCTTTAAATAATCTGGACAATGCAGGTAAATAGCCAACTCTGTCATTTCCCCTCCTCTTATTTCTTTACTTCTTTCATATTTCTACTTTCAAAGAATACACCTCTCTAGATTCCCGGCTTTGTACAATTCTAGAATAGGAAGAAACCCATAACCCCTGGTAAAACTCTGAGGCAAGGACAGAATCTGGAAGCTCCACAAGAGATGGCCTCTGTCTTTGAGAACACTAAGTGGAATACAAAGCTGTCTGATACACTATTTCATTTGGATCTCTCGGATATTCTTACTCCTGATTTTAAAGATGAAGAAACTGAGTCTCAGAAATATTACATGACTTACTCAGATCTACCCAGAAGCCAACAAAGAGTAATTCTTCACTGGAAAGCCTGCTGATCAAACTTACAAATAGCACCAAATTAGAAAAATCATTTTTATCTTTGATAACGTAACTGTGAGGCAAAACAGTCAATAAGCTATAAATATGGTCTGAAGGATGAGATGTAGTATCTAAAAAAGTTTTGTCATACAGATCCAGTTACCATGGTGGACACATTTTAGCTTCAGGACATGTCATTAGGATATAAAATTTTTTCAGAGACCCAAAGAGGCAACTCTGCAATAAACAGGCAGAGCTCTTTCTGATTGGACACACAATAGCTAATATTCTTTTTATTCTATGACATTTACAAATTACTTTGTGCTTTATTTTCCTACTTAATATTACTTCACACAGGATTCTCACATATTGACATAGTATATGTACTTATTAGTTTTAATGACACTAGAGTATTCCATCATGTTGCTTTGCTGGTCCCTTGGGTTTGCTCTAAGTAGCTCTGCTGCAATTATCTTTTTACATATTATTGGTTTTTCCCCCCTTTGAGTTTATTTCTTTGGAGCATATGCCAAAGTGGAATTCCTGGGTCCACAGATATAAATAATTTTATAGTTCTCATTAAACATTGTTCTTTAAGGAAAACTAAACTACTTTTTCAGTATGATTAGCAACATCTGAGTGTATCAGGTTCCCTAAACCTCTCCATTTTAGGTCATTAGGAACTCATGACCTAACAAAATTGCAGGGTCTTATCCCACTAATACAGTTACAAGAGATTGAAGAAATTCTTATTCATCCTGCAAGCATTCATTCAACATAGAAAATTCCAAGTGCACAGAAATGCATCAACCAAGCATTTACCTGCCTCATATGTGGCAGACACTGTAAAGGATACAAAGATGTATAAAATTCCTAAAATGACCTCGAGGAACTTACACCACAATTGGAGACCTAACCACTCACATACAGTATCTACATAAACACTTCATTTTATGCAAATACAATCAACTTACTTTCTTTATGGCTCTTCTCTTCACCAGTGAAATTTGACATAGGTGCTTATAAACCAGCAGATGGTTTTAACATTCCCGTGACTCTAAGAATCTCAGAAACTCGACTGTTTGTGAGTGCCCAAGATGAAGATGAACCAGTGTTGCTGAAGGTCAGTTGTCCTCTGTCTCCAACTTACCCTCATTTACATTGCATACATTTGTAAATGATTCCAGTGGGCCTTGGCGTCACCAGAGGGGTGCAGGGGTGCGGACTGCACCTGGTGACACTGTCAGAGAGGGTGATACCAAAATGACTGCCTATAAAAATATCCCTGTAGTTAAACAACAAAAACATTTTTCGTAAGCCCAGCTTACATGTATCAATATAACTACAAGGCTAAAACTTTATGCTGATTTGCTTTTTGAACCTTCTCATGCATTCCAGTCAGAGCTGTCATTATTACCCAATTACAATGAGCTTCAAATCATGTGGTTTCATCTACACGTGCTAGAGTGTTTTATAGTTACTGATTTTGTCAGATTTTCTGGTGTTTTAGCTACAATACTGTGGTAATTATTATTCATGAACCCATATCAATAACTTTTTTGAGAATGAAGTAGTAATTAAAGGAAAAGAAGGAGTGGTATCCGGGAATTATGATTTACAAGTAACATTAGTACAAAAAACATTACTAAGGATTCTGCATGGTCTGGTACAGGAAGAGGTCCATGGTGGGGTGACACCATGAGTTACTACATTGGGTGACACCAACCCTAGTGATGCCACTGCCAATGGGCAGGCACCCCTAGCAGGGTAGCACAGTCCTCTTTCCTCCCTTCCACAATCCTTACCTGCCCACCTCTGCACCCTACTTCTCACCTATCCCCAGAGGCAATCCGAAGCAGGATCTGTGAGAGAGTACAATGGAGGTGGCAAAAGGTAAATCACCTTCTTCCTTCCTTTTCCTTTCCCTATCTGATCCTATTCACCTCCCATCCCTGGGTATCCATTTATTTAATCAATCTTTAGCAATACATGGTACAAGGCATTGAGGACAAGGGGCCTGCCTCCAAGAAACTCAAATCAGCCAACTGAGATCCAAGAGGATAAATCATCTGCCAATGGGTACACAGCAAAAAGTTAGGTACCAAGACTCAAATCCTGGCCTTCTGACTCCAGTGCCCCTCATTCTTTATTGGTACCAGCACTATCCCTCATCCCGTTTCACTGCCACAGTCTCCTTCCCCTTCAAACATAGACACACACACACACAAGGCCACTATTACCTTGGATGTTTTCTCCATCTAAGAGTCACCTTAGCTGACTAAGATTTATATGGGTGCATTTGTTTCTCTACCTGGATCAAGTGTGGAAGTAATGTCTACAGAGTAGGGTAGTAGCTTCATTCATGAACTCATTTAACAAACATTGATTGAGAGCCTCCTAATTTCAGACATAGTGCTAATGGCTATGTAGACAATGGCAAGCCAAAGTCCCTAGCTTTGTAGAACTTAGTCTTCTGCAGGGACACAGACAATAGAAAACCAAAAAAAGTGCAAAGTACTGTAAAGAAAATGAATAGGGTAGTGAGATAGAGCAAAATCGGGGAGTGCCATTTAGGTTGAGTGGCAAGAGCTCCCTAAGAGATGAGAACTGCTGACAGAAGGGAGCACACCAGGCAAGGGAGAACAAAGGGACCTGAGCGCATGCAGGCCCTAAAGTTTAAAGAGCTTAAAGGCCAGCTTCAAAGAAGAGAAGGAAGACTCTTGGAGCTGGGCATTGTGAGGAGGAAGAGGAGCAGTTCTACTCTGTCCTATAGGGTCACTATGAGTTGGAACTGACTCAACAGCAGTGCATTTTTGGTTTGGTTATTATCTGCAGGGCCTTGCATTTGGATTTCATTTGAGGTACAATGAAAAGACATTGAAGGGTTTCAAACAGGACCATGTCCTGACCTTTCTTATTTTGTCTAAAATGGAGAATCGATCAGACCAAGGGCAAAAGAGAAAGCAGAGAGCCCAATTAGGAGGCTATAACAAAAGTCCTGGTGGTGGGGAGAGAAAGAAAGATGGGGAAAAGTAGGCTGAATTGGGTTATATTTTGGAGACAGAACTAACAGGAGAAACAGAAAGTCCATTGACTGAGATAGGAAAAACTAGGAAAGGAATAGCCTAGGGATATAAAATCTTTGCTGCCATTGAAAACTCCAAGAAAATCTCATATGGATATTTACACGCTTTAGATTAAAAAGATTAAGGAAGAAGTATCTCAAGTTAGGATTTGAAATTAATTTTTCCATAAATGTATTGTTAGATTCTTTTCATACTAACAGGAACAGTAACATCTAAAAAGATCACAACTGCCTAGAAATTATATTAAAAGGGTTCAGCTATTGAAATATCTAGGAAGTTTTTTGTGTTTTTTCTTGAAACCTTCAATTGTTGATTTACTTGCAGAGATAAATGTCATCAGAATCTAAATTGTTTGCCAAAACTAAGATTTGTATGCTTAGAGGTGAAACGGTTTAGAAGTCTTTGACCAGTGCTCTGATTTGAGGCAAAATGCCTTATGCTATGTTGAAGGCAGAACAAGAACAATGTTTCACCACTACCTGTCAGGATACAGTGAGACAGAGACACTAGAGTCACTGGCAATCCAAAGGCTAATTTAGATTCCTTTTCAGTTAACTGAGAAAATCAACTATGATTAATAGACTGGGCCACACATCTAACCAGCATGTAATAAATGCTTGCTGAACGAACAAATGAATGAACGGCCTATATCATCATATCACAAAGTCATAGTCCTAGAGTGCTATGTTTCTCATGAAGACCAAATGCCAAGGGATTGAGCTTCAGTTCTTTTTCTAACATCTTCTTGTTCTCTAACAGAACTCTGTTCTCCTTATCACAGGAGATGCCTGAGACACCCAAAGTCATCACGGATGAGACCAACCTCCTCTTCTTGTGGGAAAACCACGGCATTATGCACTACTTCAGATCAGTTGCCCACCCAGAGTTGTTTATTGCCACAAAGGATGAAGAACGTGTGCACTTGGCAAGAGGGGAACCCTCTACCATTGACTTCAAGATATGGGATAACTAGACTCCGGAATCTTTGTACTGTGAAGTGGTGGTAGTCTTTGTGTACCATGTACATACATCCTTTACCCCTACCATTTGCTGAGCATGGCTGAGCCTTTGTAATTCTAAATGAATGTTTACCCTCTTTGTAAGAGAGACAGCAAGGTCTAATGGAACCACCACTAATGCACAACATCGTTGTTTGTTATTTAAAGAACACCCTGTGCTTTGCAGAGTACCAATTATTTTAATTATTATTCTTCATAACCATTTTGAGAGGACCAGGGCTACTGACCATGGCTACCAAAAAGACTCTACCCATATTACAGATGGGTTAACTAAGGCATAAGAAAACTCAAAAATACACACAGAGGCAGTTGGAATGAAAACCTACAGACCCAAGATTTCATTCCAACTGTTTGTCTTCTTTTAAGTTGCTGGCAGGCCCTTAATCAGATAGCATAAGTTTCTGGGACCTGTGTTTTATCATCTTCAAAATGAATGGAATAATACCTATATTCTTTCTGTCTCAACAGTTTTTTATGCCAATCAGTAGGGTCATTCTGGTAAAATACTTCTTGAAGCTGAGCCTCAAGAAGAAGGCAAAGTATGAAATGTTGTTTTTAAATTATTATTTATATATATATGCACATATATATGTATTTATAAATATACTTTAAGATTATTATAACATATTATTATATTTATGGCAATTCCTTGACTGAGTGTGACCAGACAGCCTCAACAACAGCTGACTGTTTTCCAGGCCCATAGCTGAGTAAGTTTGGTGTAGTTACATCAGGGCAGTTTGGTCCAAGTTGTGCTTTTTCAAAGCTGAAAAAGCTCTGCATTCTAGTGCCTGGAAGCTCTTTAATTATGATAATACATTCCCACTAATGACCTTTGGTTGAGTTGATAATTGAACCAATCTGTTCACTCTTCTGCCCTTAAACGTGCTTAGGCATTCTTGGTTCATTCAATTCGACCCACAATCAAGTCCTACTATTTAAAATGGGATGAACTCAACTTCGGCAACCATGGAACCATAGTTTTCTAAACTTTCTTTTCTGACATGTAATCAATGTTCCTTCTAGGTTCTAAAAATTGTGGTCATCCCATAATGATACATTATCGTAAGCAATAATAATACATTATTATCTATCATAATTGAATAAAATTTACAACAAATCTGACACAGTTATTCATTGTGTTAATCATTATTTTACTACATGGTAATTAGGGACAAGTGATAGAAGTTCACATAAATAGCTATAATTACTGTTACTGTTACAAAGCCAAACCAAGGTTTATGGCTTTTCTCTCCTCTTTGCATAAAAGACATTAAGAGTAACAATATTCCCAGATTCATTTAAAGTTCACATCACACACGTACAATACATGTGTTTATATAGCCGTACAAATGCACTTATGTGGAGCCACATTAAAAGCCTACAATTATTGGATACAACTTCCAAATGGATAAGGGTCTCTATCCCCTGGCCCTGGGCTGCAACAACCCACCATCTATCATGCCTGATTGAACTCCATGCACCCATCAAGAAGGACTAGCTCAGCTGAGGGGTGGGGACCATGGTCTCAGGGGATGTCTAGCTCAATTGACATAATGTAGTCTATAAAGAAGTGTTTTACATCCTACTTTGGTGGGTAGTGTCCAGGGTCTTAAAAGCTTGTGAGTGACCTTCTAAGATACATTTACTGGTCCCACCCTATCTGGAGCAAAGGAGAATGGAGAAAGTAAAGATATAAGGGAAAGATTAGTCCAAAGGAACTAATGGACCACAACTACCACAGCCTCCAACAGACCGAGTCCAGCACAATTAGATGGTACCCGGCTACCACCACTGACTGCTCTGACAGGGATCACAATAGAGGGTTCTGGACAGAGTTGGAGAAAAATGTAGAACAAAATTCTAACTCACAAAAAAAAAAAAAAAAATTACTGGTCTGACAGAGACTGGAGAAACCCTGAGGGTATGGCCACCCGACACCCTTTAAGCCCAGTGCTGAAGTCACTCCTGAAGTTCACCCTTCAGCCAAAGATTAGAAAGGCCTATAAAACAAACAATAACATACATAGTTCAACCATGTATACAAGACTAAATGGGCACACCAGCCCAGGAGCAAGGATGAGAAGGCAGAAGGGGACAAGAAAGCTGGACGAATGGAAATGGGGAACCCAACGTCGAAAAGGGGAGAGTGTTGACATATTGCAGGGTTGGCAACCAATGTTACAAAACAATTTGTGTATTAATTGTTTAATGAGAAACTAATTTGTTCTGTAAACTTTCACCTAACTCACAATTTAAAAAAAGAAAAAAATTTGTATCAAGTCACAAAAAAAAAAAAAAAAAGGACTAGCTCTAGGTTTCCTGTTGTCAATGTTGTTGTGTGCTGTCGAGTCAATTTTCGACTCATAGCTACCCCATGTGACAGAGTAGAACTGTTGCATAGGGTTTTCTAGGCTGTAATCTTTACAGAAGCAGATCACCAGGTCTTTCTCCCACAGAGCCGCTGGGTGGTTCAAACCACCGACCTTGCGGTAAGCAGCTGAGCCCTTAACCATTACACCACCTAGGAATCCAAAAACTCAAGGTACCAGAAACTCTAGAATATGAGGTATGGCTGGCCAGCCCAGTGAGCACAACCAGGACCATACATGGTGCAATAGGTGCTCGGGAGAGCCTGTGCTCAGATGCAGTGGCCTGCAGGTTCCAGAAGTCTACCCAGGAGATCTCATAGGCCTGGTCAGGCACTCAACTTCTCCAGCTATGATTCCGTAAAGACCTGCTTTTCCTAAGGCAAAAGCTGGACGGAAGAACTTCCTACTTCTGGTGATGCCACTCTACAGCAATTCTGTAAGACTGAAAGTACTTGGAAGGCACAGCACTCTACACTCTAACAGATTTCATAAGGTACATTTCCTGAAGAAACTGGATCTGAGATATTTCGCCTGCAACTTTCTCCATTAACTAGAGTTCCTTCAGATCTGTGGTGCCACTTTAATGACTATCTTCATCTCTCCCCTCTCCCTCCTTCTAGTGCTCAATGATGCATTCCGAAACTGCAAGTAGCTCCGTATGGCAGGAGAGCAAGCAGCATGCACAGGTCTAGAAAAGACTAGACAAAGAAGCGGGGTCAGCCCTTGGAAGGGCTTATAATCTACTCTAAAGAGACTAGGCTTATCTTTAAGTCAACTGGGGAGGGGTTTAAAGTCAGGAAATAAAATTATTACATTCATATTTACAAATATCACAATGGAGGACAGGTTTTACGAAGAACAAATTAATGTGAGGAATGACTGGCGGGGAATCCAGTTAGAAGACAGTTACAAAGGTTCAGGCAAGAAATACTAAGGACCTGAATTAAGGCAATTTACATGGAAAAGAGAAGAAAGCATGGATACAAGATATGGTGAGTTGTAAAAAGTTAAAATCAAGGGCACTTGAAAATAAATTTGGAAGATAAAGAAAGAGCAGTCCGAGATGACCCTCAGTTTCCTGGGACTGACGACTGGGTGGTGGTGGTGTCCTTACTCAGTATATTCAGTAAAAATGTGCAGTTCTCAGTTCTAGGATGAAGTATGATGAGTATCATTTTAGACACATAATTTGAGCTACTGGGAAAAAACCCAAGTGCGGATGTGTAATAGGCAGATAATCAAGTGTCTAGAACTCAGGAGAAGTTAAAACTAGATATAGATTTCAAAGATACCAGGAGGTATGTAGTAGGTAAAATCCTAAAAGAGACATCAGAAAGAGAAGACAAAAGAAGCATATGACTACCACAGTTGGTTGTTCACACAATCGCCATCTCCCCCTTCTTCCTCACTAACAGAATTCTGATTTCGTTCAGATGCCCCAAGGAATGAGTCTGATTGGTCTAAGCCAATAACGGCCATTCTTTTTCTCATTTGACTAAGTCATGTTGACTAAGTCTTATCTAATGAGATGTCACTAAGGGTGAATTCTGTGGAAATTTTTCTACCTTGACAAAAGAGAAAGACATGTGAGAAAAAAATGTCCTTTTTCCTCCTTCCTTTCTGCATGAGACACGTCCTGTAAGGATGTGAAGCTTGGAGCTGCAGTAACCAGCTTGCAACCACTGGGAAGATACAACCACACACTGAGGAAGGCAGAATGGAAGGAGAAAAAGAACCAGTACCCCTAACGACATTGTTGCACTGAGAACCTACCTCTGACTTTTTTAAGAAAGCAAGAAACCTCATTGTGCTTGAAGCCATTTTCATATGGTTTGCCATTACCTGGAGCCTAACTGATACACAGGACCAACACAGACCAGTGAGAAAAGGAGGAAATCTGGTGTATTGCTTGTTCCACCATGTTCTTCCTAGCTGCACTACTTTCTAAGGTTTTCATACTCAAAGACTGGCTAAAGGAGGACGAGGTGTCTCCTGCTTCTGTGTTGTCCTTTTGTTTTAAGAAATACAAAGAAACATCTAAGAACTATTTTAATACTAATATATCTTAATATTTTAAGAAATACAAAATATTGAGCAAGCAACACAAATTCAAGAAATCTTAAAAAAAAAAAGTATAATAACTGTTGTGTTACTATGGCCTTGAGATAGTCTTTAAACTTGGAACTCAAACCACTCCCAGAGGTTATCTTTCAATCAAATGACAGATTGGCCCATGAAATAAATAGTATCACCTGTGAGTACTGTGGTCCTCAAAATGATCATCAAGATGAAGCCAAATGGTTAACATTTATCCTAGACCAAAGACGAGAAGGCTAGGAGGGACAAGGAAGCTAGATTAATGGAAATAGAACAACCAAAATGGAAATAACGAGAATGCTGATATATTATGAAGAATGTAACCAATGTCACCCAACAATATGTATAGAAATTGTTAAATAAGAACCTAATTTCCTGTGTAAATTTTCACCAAAAACACAATAAAATATTTTTAAAATAATAACTGTTGTGTGTCTGATCGATATTGAAATATTGAATCATTATAAAAATGGCCTCAAAATGTTCTTTTGACAGGGCCAGCTATCCATATCCTCTACAACCTCCGCATCTACCTCCATGCCTCTGACTACCCTAAACAGTAAGAGAGTCACCCAGATGAGGTCCAACAGTCTTAACCTCAACTTGTTGGAGTCTATTTCTTTTATTATGGAGTCCTGCTGGCACAGTTGTTTAGTGTTCAACTGCTAACCAAAAGGTCGGTGGTTCGAACCCACTAGCCACTCTGTGGGAGAAAGGTGTGGCAGTTCGCTTCCATAAAGATTACAGCCTTGGAACCCTATGGGGCAGTTCTACGCTGTCCAATAAGCTCACTGTGAGTCGGAATTGACTCAAAGGCAATGGGTATAATGGGTATTTCTTTTATTATGGTCTTATACATCAGTTTCCAAGCTGATGAGAGTAAAGCCTCATCTCTGCCTTTAAGTCCACAAAATACAGAAGCAAAAATCCAAGTGAAATTTCTGATTGAGTCACTTTCCTTGACTTTTAAAAGTACCTACCTTTGGACTTTTGGGGTGACAGAAACAGGATAGCAATAATTATTGTGGCAGACGTAAAATGTATTTGTATATCTATATCTATTCCTTGATTGTAAAAAAAAAAACCATTGCCATCAAGTTGATTCCGACTCATGGCAACCCCACAGGACAGAGTAGAACGGCCCCATAGGGATCCCAAAGGGGCTGGTAAATTAGAACTGCCGACCTTTTGGTTAGCAGCCAAGCTCTAAACCACTGCGCTACCAGGGCTCCTTCCTTGATTGCAGTGGTGTTTAAAGCTCCAAAGGTAATTCTCATGTGTGATTCTGGTTAAGAACCACTGAATTAAGGCATTCCTGGAGTCAAAGATGGTTTGATCATAGGGTTAACAATAGTTCCTCTTTGGGAAGTTCCATCCACGGTTACAAGAGGTGAGAACACACAAGTCTCATCAATGTAGCAGAGGTTTTCTAACAGCTGTAAGGAAATTAATGGGCCCCAATTGGAAATACGGTACTGAACAGCAGAAGTAGCCCACCCATTTCATCTACTTTTGCATACTTACTGAAGCTGAGGGCCTGGCAAGTAGATTCTTGCCCTTGATGTACTCTTCCAAAGATCTGTGATGCTCTGCCCAATTGAGAGAGGTCTACAGAATAAAGAAAAACATGAGTGGATTGTCCCTAAATTGTCCTCTCATCTCTCAGCATCCCAAAAATCATCCTTGGCTTCTAGCACAAGAGGCTTTGATTTCCAGAGGAGCACCCCACCCACCCCTGCCAAAAAGTAGAACTAATTTTTTTCCACACAGATCCTATTCATTACTTGATAGATGGTGTCTTAGTCATCTAGTGCTGCTCTAACAGAAATACCACAAGTGGATGGCTTTAACAAAGAGAAATTTATTTTCTCACAGTCTAGTAGGCTTCAAGTCCAAATTCAGGGCATCAACTCCAGGGGAAGGCCCTCTCTCAGCTCTGAAGGAAGGTCCATGTCATCAATCTTCCCCTGGTCCAGAAGCTTCTCTGCACAGGAACCTCAGGTCCAAAGGCTGATCTGCTCCTGACACTGCTTTCTTGGTGGTATGAGGTTCCCATGTGTCTCTGCTCACTTCTCTCTTTTATATCTCAAAAGAGATTGGATTAAGACACTATCTAATCTTGTCAACCTCATCAGTATAACCTCATTACAGTGATAGAATTTACAACACATAAGGAGATCACATATAACCTCATCATAGTGATAGAGTTTACAACACGTAAGGAAATCACATCAGATTACACAATCATACAGTACTGTGAATCATGACTCAGGCAAGTTGATAGATACTTTTTGGGGACACAATTCACTCCATGACAGATGGTGAAGTCATTTCTTCCACTCATGAGAGAAATGTTGCTACTGATTTTTTAAAAAGGGAAAAGAGAGGATTTGTGGAGATTACATGACATGAATGTCTTGCAAATAGTTTAGAAAAGATTATTCAACAGATGTTTTTAGAGTACATAGAATAGAATGCTGTGATCGCAAGGCTCACTTAGTGACCCTGAGCTCACTAAGAACAAGCCATGCCACATTGATCTCCTTTCCATTTTTGCTGGGATTACCAATCAGTATACAATCCAAAAGTGAAACATAGGGGATCACATTAAGGTGTGACACAAAGAGCTTATTAAAAAGGAAGAAACTGGCTCCTGAAAGTGTAATCGGATCAATATAACAGATCGTAGTAGATATACTGAAGTCAATATGAAGACACAGAATGGCTCCTGGGCCAGAGTAATATTTCACTGAGTATTTACACATGTAATAAAAAATTGTGAGACAGTGTGTGTTAGTAAGCAAATAATTTATAAGATACAGAGAAAAAAATGGTAAAAAGAAAAATGAAGGTTGGCAGAGCCTGTGAAAACATTGTCCAAGAAAGAGGATGTCTTGGCCAAAGATGGAATCTGTTTGGTGTCTGTTTGGCAGGTATATCTCTGTTGTGGAAATAGGTGTATTGTGGCTTAGCGTCATTAAGCATAAATCATATAGATAATTTCTCTTGTTCTGATCTATGCTTTCCAAAGGAACTTCTGATTATAACCTGGCTTCCTACATGTTTGCATCCAGAAAGAGAAGGTGCTAGCTAGAAGATGTGAGTGTCAAGTCTCTTCTGCAGTCCTAGGCCCAGTGAAAATTAAAATTGGTTCTGTATATTCTAAGTCAGACTCTTATGAACTTAGAATACTATAGAGATAAAGAGAACACAATCTAATTGACTCTGTTACTTTAGGCTAGACTTTTAATCTCTCATCCTCAATTTCCTTATCTGTAAAAATAGAGACAGTATAACTTCATAAAAGGGTTGTTGGATTAATGAGATAAAATACAGAAGGAGTTTAGCATGGTACCAGAGATTTAGAGTGTTCGACTCATTTATTCACTTAAGAGTAGCTGTTATCACTTTTACTTAGTAAATACATCCCTAAGAGACTGCTCCAAATCAGGATGCCAATTAAATCAAGTTCCTGAAGCCACAATGTTGAGAAATGGACCCTGGATGATGGTAAATGTTCTGCAGACCATCAGATGAAGTCTCTTGACCAGCCATTAAGCCTTCCTTGGTGACTCCAGCCTAGCCATATTCATTTCTTTCCAACTTCTACATTATATTGTATTTTGATTTTACCATGGCATTTAGCAAAGTCTCTAATGATATAGTGGTGGACAAGATGGAGATATATGGGCTAGAATAACCAATAGTATTCTTGAATGGGTTTGCATTGTACTGAGTCTTTAAAGAGAAAAAGCTCCATGCATTCATTCAACAGATATTTATTAAGACCCTATGAGCCAGCCATTATGAATATAATGTCCTGCTCTCATAAAACTTACAGACAAGAAGGGAAAGACATATGAATAATCAAGCTAGTCACAAAGTGAGACTTCAGAAAGTTTTCTTGAGAAAGGGATGCCTTGCCTGAGACTGAAAGATAATTAAGAGAACTAAAAGATACTCAATAATAATAATCCAATTCAAAAATGGGCAAAGGATCTAAATAGACATTTCCCTCAAAACAGATATACAAATGACCAATAAGCACATGAAAAGATGCAAATCAAAACCACAATGAGATTCCACATCATACCCACTAAACCAAAACCAAACCAAACCCATTGCCATCAAGTCAATGCCAACTCACAGCAACCATATAGGACAGATTAGAACTGCCCCATAGGGTTTCCAAGGAGTGACTGGTGGATTCTTTTGGTTAGCAGCCAATCTCTTAACCACTGAGCCACGAGGGGTCCACAAATATATACAGTAGCTTCAAAAAGTTCCCAATAAATTCGTGGTGAGCATCGCATGGATAAGGTGCAGGCCCCACAGCAGGCCTTGGGTGAGGAACGCTCCCATTCATCTCCACCCCAGATAGGGCTGCGGAGCCCCTTCAATGCCCTGCCTGGAGCTAGAGCCAAACACCAAGGGCCAATCAATAATGCTGGCTGGACCAAAACAAGAGGAATGAGGAGTGTCTGGGAACTCAGGAAGACTAGGCTTGCCCTCTGACATACTTTCCTTGGTTAGTAGTGCACTAGGCTGCTGAAGACAAACCAAACATTTACATTAAAAAGGAGTCACACTGCTCTTAAAGCTTGCAAGCAGCCATCCATGGTACAATTGGTTTCTATTTGCCTGGAGCAATGGAAGAAGAGGAATCAGGAACAGGAGTAGGAAATGGAATGTGTTGCTAATTGCCTCCACTAACAATTGCCTCCTTTGCTAGGAGACCAGAAGAAATCAATGGTGCCTGGCTAGCATTACTGAACTTTTTTTTTTTCTTTTTTGCATTTACAAACAATAAAATTATATATCTGGGAGCAAGAGAAGAAAAAAGCAATAATCACAGAAGTTCTGGCTGCTGGGCTGCTGGAGGCATCCAGGAGCAGACGCGGTTCTGTCCAGACCTCTCCGCTCCTTTCCTCTAAGACTCTTAGTGTTTCCTCCTCCACCCTCTCAATTGCATAAGGCAGATGCCTCCGTTATCCTGTCTGGCAGCTTGCCACTTCCAGCAATCTTGCACCCCAATTTTCCCAACCTATATTCCATTGTCTTTAAGCCTAGGGTGTGAATTTACTAATCTGGTCAATTAAAATTTGCTAATATCACTTTTCACCATACTTATTCCTTTCATCATACTTATTCAATCTGGGCAAATAATCTGAGAAGCTGGACTATATGAAGAAGAACAGGGCATCAGGATTGGAGGAAGATTCATTAACAACCTGCGATACGCAGGTTGCTTGCTGAAAGTGAAGAGGACTTGAAGCACTTAATGATGAAGATCAAAGACTACTGCCTTCAGTATGGATTACACCTCAACATAAAGAAAACAAAAATCCTCACAACTGGACCAATAAGCAACATCATGATAAACAGAGAAAAGATTGAAGTTGTACAGAATTTCATTTTACTTGAATCCACAATCAATGCCCATGGAAGCAGCAGTCAAGAAATCAAACAACACATTGCATTGGGCAAATCACTTGCAAAAGATCTCTTTAAAGTGTTAAAAAGCAAAGATGTCACTTTAAGGTCTAAGGTGCACCTGACCCAAGCCATGGTGTTTTCAGTCACCTCATATGCATACAAAAGCTGGACAATGAATAAGGAAGACCAAAGAAGAATCGACGCCTTTTAATTATGGTGTTGGTGAAGAATACTGACTATATCATGGACTGCCAGAAGAACGAACAAATCTGTCTTGGAAGAAGTACAGCCAGAATGCTCACTGGAAGCAAGGATGGTAAGACTTCGTTGCACATACTTTGGACATGTTATCAGGCAGGACCAGTCCCTGGGGAAGGACATCATGCTTGGTAAAGTAGAGGGTCAGCGAAAAAGAGGAAGATCCTCAACGAGATGGATTGACACAGTGGCTGCAGAAATGGGCTCAAGCATAACAACGATTGTGAGGATGGAACAGGACCAGGCAGTGTTTCATTCTGTTGTACATAAGGTCGCTATGAATCAGAGCAGACTCGATGGCACCTAACAACAACAACAATATCCCCAATAGGAGTTACGGAGCAGAAAGTTTTACTAACATTTTCCTGGAGGAAAGAGTTTGCCTGTATTTTTGTTTGCTTTGTTTTTTGGTTTTAATTTTATTGTACTTTAGGTGAAAGTTTACAGTGCAACTTAGTTTCTCATTCAAAAATTTATACACAAATTGTTTTGTGACATTGGTTGCAATCCCCGAAATGTGTCAGCACTCTTCCCTTTGCCTTTACCCTGGGTTCCCCGTGTCGATTCATCCAGTTTCCTGTCCCTTCATGTCTTCTCATTTTTTTGCTTCTGGTCAGTTGTTGTTCATTTGGTCTCGTATACTTGATTGAACTAAGAAGCATGTTCATTACTGAACATTTTGATCAAAGATTCTATAGAAAAATCCTGGTCAAAAGGGGGAAAAATGGGAAATAGAATTTCAAATTTTCATGGAATCCAGATTTTCTGGAGCCATGGAGGCTGGATGAACCCCCCAGAACTATTGCCCTGAGGTCATCTTTAAACCTTAAACCAAAAGTATCCCCAGAAATCTTCTTTAATCCAGCCGATAGTTTAGCTTAATTAGTAAAGAATGTCTGCCTTGAGTATGGTGCTCTTTTAAGATCTATATATATGGGATCAAACTGACAACAGCAACCTCCAAGTTTAGATAGGAAGCTTAGGGGCAGTGAGTTTATGTTAATGGTGAAGGAACAACTCAGAAAAGGAGGGTGAGAATGGTTGCACAACTTGAAGAATGTAATCAATGTAACTGAATTGTACATGTAGAAATTGTATGGTGTATGTTCAGCTGTATATATTTTCAACAACAATAAAAATAATAAAACAATTTTTCCTTTTAAGTACTACGAACTAAGATAAGACCCTTGAGATTCATCAGACTCTCAGTGGGATATATTCTCTTGACGAGGAGCCTAACTCATCAGATTTTTATTTCATCTTACTTTTTTCATAGCCCCGGTGAAGCTGGAGGTCTGAGAAGGAAGAAGCAGCGAGGCGGGCCTGGCGTTCCGAGAAGGCAGCGGGGCTCCTGGAGCGCCAGCCTGGACAGCGCATTAGACGCTCTCGTTAGACTCATCAGCGGGCTCTGCCACCGCGTCCCCAACAGCGGTGGCACGTAGGGCCAATCACAGGTCCAGGGCAGAGCTCGAAAGGCCAAAGCCAACTGCCCAGCGTGTATTTCACTCTTGTCCCGCCCTCCCCTCCCTGCCGCTAATTGGTGGGTTTCAAACCCGCGGGAGCCAATGAGAGCGGATGGACGCGCGGCGCGCCGTGCTTTGTCCCAGCGCGGCCTTTGAAGAAAAACTGTCGCTGAGGAGCCATGGTGGGGCCCGGTCCTGGTGCCGCCGCCGCCTCTGTCGGTGAGTATGACCGCGAGCCCTCGTCTTTTGCAGGCGTTGGAAATGGGTGGGGAAGGAAAGAGGCCACTGAGTGCGTCCTTTCCACCGAAGCGGTCCGCTCGCTCGCCTGCCGCAGTCTGCCCCTCGGCGGTTCCGGTCCGGGGTCCAAGCCCCCAGTACAGCCCCAGCACCGCGGCCCGAGCCCTGAAGGCGCCCGACCCGACCCGGGAGCAGCGGTCGGAGACTGCTCTTCCTTCTCCGAGCGCTGACAGGAGCTGCGGCTCCGGCCCGGTGAGACGTCTGGGCCTGGGTAGGCAGAGGCCGTGAGCGGGGCCAGGTGCCTCTCAGGCATCTTGCCAGTAAGTCCTGCAGCAGCCTTGCAAAACGACGTCATTGTCACCGCGTTTTAGGTAAAGAAACTGAGGCCCTTCGAGCCAGATTGGGTTGCAAGCCGAGACAGGGTACCGTCCTCTGCCGGTGGCGCGCGGCTTTGACAGCTGCCAAGAGGCAGCGCTGACCCGAACCTGAGTTTCCTGCCCCAGCGCGGTGCTCTTCCCTCTACACCTCTCGAGGCTGCTGCAGACTACAAGCTGACTGGTTAAATCTGCACAGACAGCTAAGGATCCTGGGTTCCCTGACCTCGTAGGCGTGCCTGGAGCCCTTTCCTGTCCTTCAAAATCCTCCTGCTCAGATGCCGTCTTCTCCAAGATACACACGGTGTTTGATCGTTTCAGTAATCCCTGTCGATTGCCTACTAGGTGCTAGACACTGTACAGAACAGTCCCTAAAGACAGGCATTTCTGTTCCCGTCGTATAGGCTCTGTGGCAGCAAGGTTTACTGACTTGCTAGAAGTTACAAAGCTGAGATACCTATCCGGTTTGTCGGACTCCTCAGCCCCTGCTCACCACACTGCCTTGCTTGAACCTAAAATATATTTCTTCCTAACTCTTGTGGATGCATCAGAGTCAGATATCAAAATACAGGGCAATGTAGTTCAGATGAGATCAAGAGTGGTTTTGCACCCCTGTAGTTTTTTTTTTTTTTTTTTTTAACCATAGTTTAATTGTAACCTTTTCCAACCACCTGTTCTTCTCACTCCCATAATGCTTTCTTTGCGGGTTTCTTATGGCCCCTGGGTTTTGCCTTATGTTATAATTACTGTTGTGTTTATTTTATCTCTACTACTAGATTGAAATTTCTTGGAGGCAGAAATCTTGACTTTCCAGCCCCTCACAAATGCCTTGCATAGGAAGTCACATGTAAACGTTTCCTATGACCCCTCTAACCTGGTCTATTTTGTCCTTAGTCCCAAAGGAAATCATGTGAGACTTTGTGGGTAAAACTCATCATTTCTGTCAGACAAAAAAAAAAAAAAAGAAAAACCAAGTGTGGCTTACCCTCTCAGATGGGACAGTAGCAGAATTTCTTTGTGCAGAGCATAGTATGTTATAGCTGAGAACAGTAGCTGTTGGCAAGGTCTCTGGGATTGGGTAAAACCGGTTTCAAATCCTGGCTTTGCCACATGTGAGCTGGGCAATGTTGGGCAAGTTATTTACCCTTACTAAGTTTCAGATTGTAAAATATCTGATAGAATTGTTGTGAGGGTTCAGCAAAGTAATGAAGCATAAAGGGCTTAGTATAGTGCCTGGTATATAAGTGCCCAGTAAATGATATTGTTGATGTTGATATTAATTTGAAGGCAAATTTATAGGATTAGGGAACTTTATAATAGCATTGTCCAAAGCCAAAATTATTATAGAAAAGTGTCATCTTTAGGAATATAAATGAACTGGTTAATATCCCTGTTTGTTTGCTTGCCTATTTTGCAGAAGAACGGCAAAGAAAGCTCCAGGAGTACCTGGCAGCCAAGGGAAAGCTGAAGTGCCAGAACGCCAAGTGAGTTGTCTACCCACAGATATGCAAGTTTTGTTGCCCTGGTTACTAATAGCAACTTAAAGCTTTTCAAAACATAGCTCTTTTGCTTCCAGTCCACCCAGACTGTACTGGAATCCTGTGATAAAAAGGGTATTTCAGTCTAGGCCTGGCAAAAACCCCTGGACAGTGCCTGGTCCATTGACAAAGACTTGAAAATTGTGATGGACTCCAAAGGAAGGAGGGAAGAGTCTACAATATTACTTACCCATGTTGGAAGCTTTTCCTGTCCCTCCTTTTTTTCCTGGGAAAGTGATTCTTATAAAGGCAATTTTGGTCAAGGAGTTGGTGGCCCTGGTTCTGCTGTTTCTTCCTCAAAGAGGAGAGCCAGTTATGATGAGTCCTCAGTAGCAACATGCCAGAATCCTCCGACCTTACAGTGCTCTTTGGCCATTCTCTTAGCACTGACTTATGAGGTGGACAGAATGTGACCACTTCCTGTATCTTCTGTTAACACTTTGCCATCTTAGTGGTGTTCCTTATCTCTCTTGCTTAGCACTGATGAATTTTCTCCCCATTTGAGTTGCTAAATTTTTCTTTGAAAATTATTTTTTTACCACATTAGCTTTCAATCTTTATTTTAATTTATTTTTACCCTGAGTTTTACTCAACTCTATTTCCTTGATTAAATTAAGACAATTCGTTTATTCAACAAATATATATTCAGTACCTACAAGAGGAGCCCTGGTGGCCCAGTGGTGAAGCACTGGGCTGCTAACCGAAAGGTCAGTAATTGGAGCCCAGCAGCCACTCCACAGGACAAAGATGTCGCAGTCTGCTGTCCTAAAGATTTACAGCCTTGGAAACCCTATGGGGGCGGGTCTAGCCTGTAGAGTCACTATGAATGGGAATCCACTCAAGGGCACACAACAACGACAACCTACAGTGTATCAATCACTCTTGATGCTAGAGATAAGATGACTCACAGGAAAAAAAAGTCCCCACCCTTCCAGGGCTTACATTCTACTTGGGAAAGACAAACATCAACCACGTCATGACCAAGACCCTGTTACTCTGGCAATTGTTTTTAGTCCGTAGGGATTGAATCCTTCTAAACTTTTCTCTACATTTTTTTATCCTTTTTCGTATTTTCTGTCTCATTAACTGGATTTCATAAGTGGCCCTGGTTTTTTAATTATATCACTTCTTTTTTTCCCTGAAAATTCACTAGTTGAAGATACTTAAACCAGGAAATTTTTAAAAATAAGCAGTCAGTTGTCTTAGTTAGCATTGTATCTCCAGTGCCTGGCACATTGCTATGTCCAGGGAATGATAACTGAATGAATAAGACTGCAAATATGAAGGAAACATATTTCATGAATATTGTTAGAATGCTATATTTATGCATAGGATATCTCTGAAAGGATCATACACACAAAAAAAGGGGGTAATAGCAGTTGTGGTCTCTGAGGAAGGAAATAACAGGACTAAGGGAGGGATGATAAGGAGACTTTATTGAATACAATTTTGAACTTTATCATATACAGAAATTCTAGTAATTTAAAATTTTAATTACAGTCATTTTAAGCACTACTTCCCAAGCCTTGCTGATTCTTTGTACTAAGGGTTAATTTCATTTTGTCTTTCGTAGGCCTTATCTAAAAGCCAAGAATATTTGCGCAAATCCTGCACCTTCTAAATCCGTGAGTAGAAACTAATCCTTTAAGAAATATCCATTTTGGAAAGAATAAAAATGTTAGCAACCCAAAGAACATGTATTGCAAAGATATTTCGCATAAACTTAAGAGCAGTTTATGTTTTTTTGAAAAGTACAACATATTATAGTTTAGTTTTGTTAACTGAAAACAACCTTGAGTAGACTTTGCTCCTCTATTAAGCTATTTGCCTGACACTTTTTTGACTTGTATTAGCGTATCGAGTCCTCAAGTAACCTTATGAGATAGCTACTATTGTTGTTAGGTGCTATCAAGTCAATTCCAACTCATAGTGACCCTGTGTACAACAGAACGAAACACTGCCTGGTCCTACCATCCTCACAGTCGTTGCTGTGTTTGAGCCTATTGTTGCAGCCACTTTGTCAATCCATCTAGTTGAGAGTCTTCCTCTTTCTTGCTGACCCTCTACTTTACCAAGCATGATGTTCTTCTCCAGGGACTGGTCCCTCCTAATAACATGTCCAAAGTTCGGGAGACAAAGTCTCGCCATCCTCACTTCTGAGCAGCATTCTGGCTGTACTTCTTCCAAGACAGATTGGTTCATTCTCCTGGCAGTCCATGGTATATTCGATATTCTTTGCCAATACCATAATTCAAAGGCATCAATTCTTCGGTCCTCCTTATTCATTGTCCAGCTTCCATATGCATATGAGGTGATTGAAAATACCATGGCTTGGGTCAGGTGCGCTTTAGTCCTCAAAGTGACATCTTTGCATTTTAACACTTTAAAGTGGTCTTTTGCAGCAGCTGTGCCCAGTGTAATACGTCGTTTGATGTCTTGACTGCTGCTCCCATGGGCGTTGATTGTGAATCTAAGTAATATGAAATCCTTGACAACGTCAATATTTTCTCTGTTTATCATGATGTTGCTTATTGGTCCAGTTGTCAGGATTTTTGTTTTCTTTCTGTTAGGGTGTAATCCATATTGAAGACTGTGGTCTTTGATCTTCATCAGTAAGTGCTTCAAGTCCTCTTCACTTTCAGCAAGCAAGGTTGTATCATCTGCATTAACACATGTTGTTAATGAGTCTTTCCTCAATCCTGATACTGCATTCTTCTTCATATAGTCCAGTTTCTCAGATTATTTGCTCAGTATACAGACTGAATAAGGATGGTGAAAGGATACAACCCTGATGCACACCCTTCCTGATTTTAAACCACGCAGTATCCCTTTGTTCTGTTCAAACGACTGCCTCTTGGTCTATGTGTAGGTTCCACATGAGCACAATTAAGTGTTCTGTAATTCCCATTGTTCGCCATGTTATCCATAATATGTTATGATCTACACAGTTGGATGCCTTTGCATAGTCAATAATAGGTACTATTAGTGTCCCCATTTTACAGATGAGGGAACTGAGTCACAGAAAGGTTGCCAAGGTCACATAGCTATTAAGTGACACAGCTGAGAGCCTGTGCTCTTAACCACTTTGTTATTCTGCCATGAAGTAGCTCAGTAGTCATTAAAAGAGAACAGCTATGTTGGATCTTCCAAGCTACTTAACAAGAATATGCTTCCTGATTAGTTCAATGCAGCTAGATTGTGGGTAGAATAGTAAAGCATCCTAAGATACTTAAGGTTTAAGTTGCAGAAATAAGCCTTCAGAAAGGGGCACAAATTCTTCATCTACAACAAAATAATCAATTTTTTAAAAGTCCCACCTTCCATTTTTAAAACCATAGTTTTATCTGAGTTCTAAAATATAACAGAAATAGTGTTCCCCAAAATGAGACATTGGCACAAACTGTAGTAAATTGTCATGACCCAGTCATCATTCATATCAACTTGACAGCAAACAACAACATGTATGTGTCGTTTTCCAAGCACATGACATCACTAGACACTGGAGGATAGACAAACATACATAAGATTAAGTTCATCTTCGATGTGAACAGTTGGTTGGAAAGCACTGAGTTAGATTTTTGCCTTTTGCAGATTGAACCAGTATAGGGTACAAGTCTTAAAGGAAAACTGCTGGGAAATGCCCTCATTCAGAATACTGTTGAAGCTTCCAAGCTTCTCTAGAAACTGACAGTACTAACTTCAATAAATCATCTCTTAAATAGGAGTGATATCTACCTTATCTACTATACGTAGTTGTAAAGATAAAAATGAAGCAGGGACAACAATTATGGAACTTAGGAGAAGTTAAAAGCACTATGCAAATAATATCCTTACAATTGTATAATGCTTTATAATTTATAAAACACTTGATACATAAAAATAATAGCAAACATTTGAGTGCTTATTATCATTCAGATACTGGGCAAGATAGTTTACATACATTATCTCAATTAATACTCAGAACAGTCCTGTAAGAAGGGTGACCACATGATTTAATATCCAGATCAGGACACCTTTCACAGCGCAAAGGGAAGATGTTAATTATGTTGGGTCAACAGGCATAAATCAAACTATCTTGGAAACACCAGGATGTATGGCACCCTTCCTACAAAATAGATAGCATTATTATTTTTCCCATTTTCAAATGAGAGGACTGAGGCTCAGAGAGATTAAGTACTTGGCCAAAATTAGGCAGCCAGTATATTTGAACAAAGGACTTAAAGTTTTTCCAGCGTACCCTTACTGTAGTGTTACTACTCAGAGGAACACACACAGTTTTTCACTTTCTCTTCCTGTCCAGGAGTTTTTGATATTGTCCGATATAGTGCTGAAAGATGACACAGGACAGAGCAACGTTTCATTCTGTTACACATGAGATCGCCATGAGTGGGAGCCGACCCAATGGCGGCTAACAGCAACGGCACTCCAGGAGTTTTAATTGAACCAAGATTTGAAAAGATTCCTTGGAGCCATGTTCTTAAAACTATTGAGAAGCAGTAATGTATAATAGTTAAGAACTGCTTGGGTCCGAATCCTAACTCCTTCATTGCCTAGCTGAGTAGGCTTGGGCAAGTTATTTTAACCTTATCTGTAAAGTGGGAATAATAGTAGGAGACATCTCATAGAGTTGTTTGAAAGGATTGAGGATTAACTGATTAATACCTATTAGAAGTACACTTATAAATGTTTGCAGATTGGGATATGTCTTCCTCTAGGCGTACATAAAGTACCTCCAGTGAGTACATAGGCACACATTTTAACAGAATCAATTTCCAGATCTTCCAACTTCCATGTGTGCTTTTACCTAAAATTGATTTGTTGGAGAATGCGCCTCACATGTAGTGTCTACTTTCCCACCTTCCTGGAACTGTCGTCCTTCTTCCACTTTTTAGTTCTTTTTTTCCTTCTGCTTGTCTTAGGCAGACCACTTACCCAACCCATCCCTAATCTTAATATGGTGCTTTGTCCTGGGGTGGAAATACCTCCAGGTTACAAAATCAATGGGCAATTAGAAATATTGTTGTTGACATGGAGAAGGCAAATGACCCTGGTCACTGTGTAATAAATCCTTTTGCAGTTCAGGTGATTTCCATTTCTTTGCATTGGACGAAGCAAAGAAGGCTCTGATCAAGTTGTTATCTGGTAGAACATTAAAAATAATTTTTTGCTGAGAGATCAACTATGTGCCTTTGGGCATATACCATAGAACTGAGTGATATTGCTGTAACAGAACATCTTGTATTCCCATCTACTTACTTAATATGAACAAGTTTTCTCAGTGTTTTTGTTTAAAAAGAAAGAAAAAGGAATAAAATTGATGCAGAACCCTGTCTCATTCTAGCAACACGTAATATAGTCTTCTAGTGAATGCATGAATTAATTGAGGGGTAAAAAAGCTCCAAACAACTCATGAAGAGCTATATTTCCATTCCTTTGTGGAAAAATATTTTACTTTTTATGTTTAATAATTGTGAATCAAAACTGGTAATATTTATCTTGTTTTGCTAAATTATTTTTAGTCACAGAAAATAAATTTACATATATTTGTAGAGAAGTTTGGTAGGGTAATGAATAATAAACTTATAAGCATAAAAATCTAAGATAAAGATTATGTGGTTGAACTCAAATAAAAAGTAGATCAAGGAGAAAAGGGAGTGGTGTTGTATTTTCAATTTTAAAGAAAAGCGTGTTGTACAGTTTTTTTAAAATGGATTATGATGAATATCAAATTTCATTTTATCTTAAAATGCCAATATTTACAGTGTGCCTGAAACTGCACATTTTGCAACTATTAAACTAACAGTGAAAAAACGTTAGCTGTTAACTTTTAAAAGTTTGGAAGGGTAGAATTTGTCAAATTATATGAACAAAAACATTTGAAAACCACTGACTACGTGACCTCTACAAACCCTTAAAGATAGCCCTTATTTCATTGTAGCATATTTTTTGTGTATATATCTTTTCTACTAGAGTTTCTGAGAGGCAGGTGTCATCTCCTGTCATCTTTGTGTTCCTTTAGAGTCTAGCACAGTACCTAGTATATAGCTGACATTCAGTAAATCTCTCTTAAATGACTAAATTCTAGTCATGCCCTTTGTGAATTTTATCTCTTCTCTAGCTTCATGTGTCCAGAATGAAGAAACCAAATTCAGTTTGATCTCAACTGTTTCTTCTTGTGCATTCAAACTTTGTTTTTTATCAAATTGATCCATCAATTCTCAGGTGGGTTGAAAAAGACCAGGAGTCAAATCTAGCTCCAACCATGCCTCTAACTCCCTGCCCAGCCTTGGGCAACTCAGTTTCCCTCTCAAATGGAGGGGATACATTCAGTGATCTCCAAAATCTTTTCTAGCTCTAATGTTTTATATTTGCATATTGATTGAATGTTGATTCTGCTAGCCCGATGACTCTTCTAAGCACTGCTTTTGTCTCTCAGTGGAGTGTTTGAAACTGCAGAACCAGTTTTACTACCCATGAGTTGGCAAGATCAGACTGACCTAAAGGAAAGATATTAAAAAAATGTATAAGAGAAAATATTTGCAAATCATATATCTGATAAGGGTCTAGTATCCAGAATATATAAAAAAAAAACTCTCACAACTCAATAATTAAAAGACACCCCAGC